GCGGAACTGGTAACGAGAGAGGAGAGTCAAGTGTCGCTCTATACATTTCTGAACTACTTAAAATTGGGAAAAACAAGAATGCATTCATGCATTACTGTTTTTTTTATGTTATTTGTATTTAAAAAATAATTTGGGGGGTGCATATGGAAAAGTTTCTGCTTACAGATGTTTCTACCACTGTGTTTCTGGCTTTCAGTCACATTTTCCCCTCTTTTAAAAGTTGATCCAAGTATCTGTTAAGCTCAACCTCCTAAGTTTCCAGAATTGTTTTCAGCACATATAAAAGGCTTTAACCTTCAACCTCTTAAGATCTGGCCCCACTATGTTTATGATTATTTTTAAATAACAAAATTTTTGGTTGCTGTTGAAAGACATTTAGAAGATCATTTATACGAGGATAAACTTAAACGGCAGACCTTGAATCTGGAACTAAGAAAACCTGGCTCTCGATTCTGAAGCAGTGTAGTACTTCAGTCAGTAACTGATGGGAAATATCTGCAGCTCATATAGTAGGAATGAGTGCAAGTCAGCAGTTTCCCTGCAAGGACATTAGGTTGCAGAGGAATATGCACGCTGTCAACACTGAATGAGAGGAAAGCTTTCCTATCCCAGTTCCTCCTGAGGGTCTCTTCAGGTTGGTTAGGTATTTACTCTTGAAGGACAAAGGATGCATCAGTATTTAGGGAATAAATATCACATATGGACTTCCATCAGGAGGTACAAGCAGCACAAAGCCAATGGCCACAACTCTCCTCCACCAGTGTGACGCATGCCAAACCCCCTCCACCCTTCTGGCTCCCTTACATTTTTCCCTGCCCTGTAAGCCATCCATGCCATCAGGCAGGGCTCCCAACATGGAGCACTCTTGGGAGACTTGGCAGCCCTTGTGCCTCTAGATGCTTCCACCTCCCCTTCACATGCACTTGTACATCTTCAGTGAAAAAAGGGAACCAGGAAGCAATGAGAGAACTAAACACAAGTCACTACACAAGTAAGAGCATTCAGTGGCCTGGCTGCCTGTTCCTTTGGCAATAAAACTGCTCTGGAAAAGTCTTTGAGCCCTAGTTAAGGGAAAATTAAAATTTAAACAAATCAGAGGCAGCCTTAAAGAAAAGGGATAAAATTGTGTATTTATGTATAGGGCTATCGATATAGACATAGATTTAGGTAGACTTGTTATACATGTTATGCATATGTGCTAAACACATGTATGAATAATCCCTGTGCAGGTGTCCAGGAACTAGCAGAGGGGCTTTATTCAGAGCTTGTGCAACTATGCTAGCTAGATTTTCAACCAAAAACAACAGGGCAGTATAAAGGCACAGATACGAGCAGGCAAAAGCTGACCAGTAAATTCTACCTCTTGGCATCTTTATTGAGAAGTGACAGGTAATCTATTGCACATTAGTGACAAGAGGTTCAAAATATATCAAGCTGTAATGAAGGCTAAACTCTAGTTTAACACCAAGATAGAAGCCACCATCTGGCACTTCTGCCAGCTTCAGAGCTGGACAAAGGCACATAGTCCTGAGGCCATACATTCAAAGGCAGAGAGGCAGAAACTGGAGGTGCCTGTGTGCAAAATGCAAAGTCCAAGTGAACCCTAAACTTAAAGCAACAATAATTGTTTAAGACAGTGTGTGAAAATCTCCATATCCTTAGATGAAACTAGGACAAAATGATCTGCCTATGGCTATTACTTATCTGGAATAGTTGGAAAGAGTAGGGGGCTTTGACTCCTTTAGAAATATACAAATGCTCCAATATCTCTCTTCACCCATTCACAAAGGAGCTGTCCTCCAAATATTAACTATTTCCAACTATCAATTTCCAATTACCAAATTCTCTGTGATCATTCATTCAGCCAATTAGTAATTACTGAGTGCCAACTTTGGTCTTGGCCCTGAATAAATAATGATGAACAAGGTTCATATGAACTCCATCACCATGGAGCTCACAGTCGGAAGCTACACACATTCAAGATTGCACCATCAGTGTTTGGTTAGGGTGAACTGATAGAGTAGAGAAAGAAATCCTCTGAAGTTTATAGTAACATAGACCCACCTCCAAAAGACACACCTATGTTCACTGGTTGTATTCTAAAATATAGCTTTAATCCCCCATTTGGAATTTAGAGACACATTTCCATGGAAGCAATGCCATCCAATAATGCTTGGTGTGTCAGATCAGCCCATAAAACTGGAGTTGCCCTGTATTCAGTGGCAAGAGGATTTTAAGAGGTCTCTGGTTTGCATTACCTGGGCTCTTCGTATCAACAGTATTAAACTGTAGTTTAAAATCCCAAGGCTTCTACTATGGATTAAAACAGATGATGCTCATCACTCAAGTGTATAATGCCAGGGATGGGCCGAAAGCTATAAACATCTACGGGTGGGCCGGTTGCCCCCAGAACAAGGAATATGAGTCAGGGCAGAATCTGCCAGAAGTGCTTCTGAGGACAAGAATGGCATTGAAAATAGCTCATATGCACATTAGCCACTGGCCGAGTACATGGAACTACCCACTGGCGCTAGCCCAGGCTACACAAGACATACACTGGTTACTCAGAAATCACAACTGACATATTTCCTGGTTACTTCAGGAAGTATTATAGTGTTTTTACATATTCTTCTCCTTTTAAGACATATGTTTTTTCAGCAGTGATCCCAGCTCCAATAGCATTTAAAGTACATTAACTTGCATTAATTTTTAAACACCACTTTTTATGTGGTTTCATTAGATGAGAGACATCTTATCCTCTAGATTCCACAGAACAATCAACTCAGCACCTGACTAGTAGAACAATAACCTCAACTTAGGCCTGTTCTGTTCGAACCATGTCACAGAGAGATGTGTAGCTAAAAATAGCTTTTCTAAACAAGAAAATGAGTCTCCAAGACAAATTTTTTTAAACAATTTTATTTATGTTTAGAAGTGAGGGAGTGAAACACACGATGTAGTAATAACAGCTCAGGAAAATTATTTGCTGGCTCTGTGACAAAGTTCATCAAAATCTTTCTTACGATTCATTAAGGGTACGCTCAGATTATACTCAGAAAATGAAGGCAATTTAGCAGTAATCACCCCTAAATTATCCAAATAAAATACTATTTCAGTCTTAGAGCCAGAGTCTCTATGAAATAGAGACTCTGAAACATGTCTACCTTTACTTCTCCATCACTGCACTAGAGAGCATGTTGTTAACATTTACAGTCATTTTTCTAACACAAAGCTAGGGTAAAGAGTGGCTCCTAAATATTGCTCCAAAGGTCCCCAGTGTTTTGCTGAGCTCACAGAAGGACCTGGACATATCATCTCTCTAAAGAGCCCATGAGATGAAAGAACTCAAACTAACCCACCCAGACAGGAAAGTGATAGTGTGATAGGATCTGGCTCTGTCCTGCAAAACCTCTACCTGGGGACATTCACTCCACGTGCCTCCAAGCAAAGAAAGCACCTGATCAGAATGAGAAAAGCAAAATGTTATGGCCGGTGGCTGGCACACAAAGGGTAGCAGCCCATCCCGGACCTGGGTACCAGCAAAACATGGGGCCCCAGAAAGATCTGCAAAGCAACAGGTGAGTTTAGTTTGCAACGCCTCTCCCACATCTTACCACACTCAGAAACACATCAGGTAGAAAGAGACCCCATACAACAGTGGTTCTCCAAGAATGCATGGCCAAGAATAGCATCAGTGTCCCTTGGAAATTGTTAGAAATGCCAAGTTTCAGGCCTACCTCAGACCTATTAAACCAGAAAGTTGAGGGGTGGCCCAGAAACCTGTGTTTTCATAAGCCTTCTAGGAGTTTCCTATGCAAAGTCAAGTCTGTGAACCACCATGTAGGATTAAAACTGCTGTAGTATAGTCCCCTCCCAAGTCTTATTTATAATGGGAGGGAGATATTTCCTCCTCTAAAAGAATGTCAAGGATAGAAGGAAATCTGGGAATTTTTAAGGCCCAACTTACCACTATTTCTCCCTATGGGTTTTGAGTTTAGGAATTTCAGTCATGGGCACCAACAAAGGGAGAGGAGAAAACTTTGTCAGAAATAGATCTAATCCACCCCAGAGCCCAGTGTACACTGGACAACTGACTGCTACTGAAACATCACTTCCAAGAAAGTTAACAACATTAATAGTGACTGTAATGAACCATTCAGATCAAGATAACCCACCAGGACTTTTTCTCCAACACAACTAAGACACCACTAAATTTTCTTTGCAGCTTTCCCAAGCTAGTGTCTATTTATAAGAGACCACACAAAATTCAACAATGACATATTAGTCAATATGTAAGTTTACACCTCTGAGCAATGCTTTCAAATCACTGAAACTTGGCTATTTACATATCAAGAACATTTAAACAAGTTTTCCCCAGAAAATGAATTTTTAATCCTCTAAAAGAGACCAATGATCTATTCTTGGGCAACATAGTCTCTAATTTTTCATTGAGCACTGAGGATTTTTCCATTAAAACAAGGAGCCACTTGTTTGCAAAGCTTTAATGTATGGCCAATGGCTGTTCTTATTTTCATTTCCAATGCTGTTCAAATTTCAAAAGGTGAGAATCTGAAAAGTCATGGCAACACACACATACCACAGAAGGTCTGGAAGCCAAATGTACAGCAGAAAGGACCTTTCTGCATAAAATACACGTGTCCTTAATGAGCCTCCTTCCACGGGGCCTCCCCTGCCTTTCTGGAACACAAGGAAAACTCAGGCTCTCTTTGCCTACCTCATTATTAGTCAGTTGATACTCAGGAAACCAGTTCAATGTCTTCTGAGACAACAGTCCTCATGGAAAAGTGGGTAGTGCTGAGTAATCAACATTATTTTGCTCTGCCTTGATTTGTAGTATCATATCCTCTTGTTGCTATTTTTTTCAGCCTTAAACTTAATCATCGTTAATCTAGCTGCTTCCTTCTTTAGTGGTAATTAGCATTAGTCATAAGCCAAAAATGATTCCACATAAGAAGTAAAATAAACATGACCCTTCTTACCTTTCATGCCAAACTTGGAGTGTCTTGCCAACTTCAGCAGAAACAGCATTACCAGCAGACAGAATCCCACCACAGAGGCAATCACAACGACAGCGTATACCTGGAGAAAGGAAGGGAGGGTGGTTATGACCTTGCTAATTTCTCCCTATATACAGATGAGGATGAGCATGATGATGACAGTTCATATCAATTGAGTGCTGACCACTTGCTGGTCTAAGAATGTCATGTACAGCAGTTCTCTTCATCCTCAAAAACCCCATGATAAAGAATGTAGGTCCTATTATTACCACAACTTTACGACTGAGAAAAACCTAAGTTTAAGCATATAAAACTGGGTATCTAATTGACACTATATCTCTATCTTATTGATCTCTTCCTATCTGTCTACCTACCTACCTGGAGAGAGGAGAGATAGATAGTACAGGAAACATGATTGACACAATATTGACTATTTTTGAAGCTGGTGAAAAGACACAAAGAGGTTCATTTTACTAATCTCTCTACCTTCGTGCAAGTTTAAAATTTATCCATAATTAAAAGGTCTTTTTAAGTTGGCTATTGCTATTCTTAGAAGTCAGGGTCCCCTTGGAGCTGTGAGCAGGCCTGCAAAGGAGTAGGCAGACACCTGTGGTTGAGTTCATTTGTGGAAGTTCACTGGGTTGTAGACTTAAAATATACTTTCCTATATGTACGATAGAGTTCAATACAAATTTTTTTTTAATTTAAAAACATTATTGCAAAATGCAGATGTGCAGAAAAGGAAGATGAAGGTCTACACGAATCCTGCCACAGCACTGAACTGGACATCACAGAGGGACAAGTGCCTTACGCTAATGGTGTGCATATTAACATTGCAGAAACAGAGGTGGAAGCTGGGCTGTGGGTCTGCTTCCATTCAGCCCAAGGTCCTGCCTCCAAGAAAAGTCTGATTCTCTAAACCAGGAGTTGACAAACTTTTCCTGTAAAAAGAAAATATTCAGATCATGAATATTTCAGGCTTCGGGGCCATACAGTCTCTTTTGCAAACTTGTCAACTCTGCTGGTGTGGCATGAAAGCAGCCACAGATGGTATATAAGCAAGTGGACAGGGATGGGTTCAATAGAACTTTATTTACAGAAGCAGATGATCGCTGGACTTGGATATAGTTTGCTGACTCCTGCTCTAAACTAAGAGGTCCATGTTGATTTAGATGCTTAAGTTGCTTTGTTTCATTTCATCTGCATAATAATTCTGAAGACAGACATCATCATTTCCATCTGTGGTATTCATTAGGGTTGTTTACAAACATTCCTGTTTCTCTTCATAAGATTCACTTCCTGGCTTTCTAGTGTGGAGATGGATTCATGTGTTTAGTTCTGACCAATGAGTTGAGATGTCACTGTCAAGTGGAGGATTTCATTGCTACTGTGAAATCTTGAACTAAGGCAGTGGTTCACAGCCAGGGATAATGTTGTACGCAGGAGACATGTGGCAATCTGGGGTTGTCACAGCTGGGAGGGAGAGTGCTTCTGGCACCTGGGGGTTGAGGCCAGACATGCTGCTAAACATCCTATGGTGCCCAGGATGGCCCCCACCACAAAGGACCATTTATCAATAGTAATGTCAATTGTGCCAAGGTTGAAAAGCCCCACCCTAAGTGCTCTCTTACACTCTGCCAAAATAAACACTAACTTTCCCAAAAGTGGCTGCTTTGTCGCCTAGTCTTGGAATAAGGATGAGGCCAACATATGTAAGGAAGCAAGAAATAAACTTTTGCTGTTTTAAGCCACTAAGATTTGTGGGTTTTTGTTACTGCAGCACAGCTTATCCTAACATATGCCTGTGTCATATAGCAAGAAGCAGTATAGAGATTAAGAACATAGGTTCTTCCTACATTTAAACTTTAGATTTACCACTTACTAGCTGTGTGTCTTCAGAATTACTTAATCTCTCAGCATCTCATAATCTTTATGTGAAAAATAGGTAATATAATAATTTTACCTTGCAGGTTATTATAAATCCCCAATGAACTAATGCAGATAATGGACTGGAACAGTGTTTACTACAGTAAATAACAAGTCAGTGTTGGCTATGATGATGATCATGATAATGGTAAAACTGAGATTTAGAAGAAATTAAATAAGCAACCCAAGATCACACCTCTCAAGCTTGGGATTTGAACCAGTCTGCCCAAGTATAAAGCCTGTGATTTATATGTGATTTACCCATTAAATTATCTCCCCAAAGCATGAGGCCAAGAGTTCAGGCAGCATACTAAAACACATGGCTAATCCTCCCAAGACACCTTCTCTGATGTCAGATGGGAACAACATTAAATAAGTCACAAAGCATAGAAAGGGCACATGACAAGCCCTTGGCCAGGGTGGAGCAAAGGTGTGATGATTCTCTCCTCTGTACTTCAGCTATGAGTGGCTCTCCCAGGAAGTGCTTTTCAAATGTTTGAGCACAGACTTAACATTGTCCCCACAGCCTATATACAAACAGAATGTTAACAATTTTTAAAAGACTAATTATGGATCAACTTATTCTATCTAAGACCATTTCTCTCAAATGTATCTGATGATTTTGGTGTTCTTTTAAAAAGTCTTTATTTCTACTGAGCATTTTCATGGGAAAGCTTTCATAGTATTTTAGTTCTAAGTCTCTTTATTATTAAATTCCAGACTTCTACAGATAGAAGGGGAATACCTGAATAAACAAAGTCAAACTATTTTGTAGACAAGGAAATGGATGGAAAGACGTTGGAGGACTTGTGCTGAGCCGCCCCTCCTGTCTGCAGCACCACGGACAGTTCCTTAGCCACTTTGGAAAGTATGTGACTGGCCTGTAGGAGACCTGGGTCCTCATGTTCACAGGACACCTTGCCTTCACCAGCTGTGAGAGCTAACAGACTTCTCCAAGCCTCCATTTCTCAATCTGTACATGGGGACAATAATACCTACACTGCCTTCTCTATTTTGTCACAGAATGTTTACATCAACCTAGAAAATGGGAAGGGATTTCACTGCTAAAAAGTAGCTAATGACCTGCTAACAAGTACTTAAATCTGCTGAAGCAGTTCTAAGTGTAAAGAATCATTTAATAAACAAAAAGTCCTGTGACAATGAGAGGATTTATTTCCTCATGGATGGACTGGGTGATAAATATAGTTCTTGCTGGGGTGGGGCAGTTGTTACGTGGCAGACAAGCAGGGGTGAGTGTGTTTGGTTGTTTTATTCTTGGTTAGTAGGTTGGCTGGCTTTTATCTGCTATCTCTCAGGATAGACAAAGGAGCTGCTCTCCTCTGAGGGTCCAGCAAGGTCCATGAGGACACATGTCAGACCAGAGATGGTTCTTGAGGCCGACTTTTAAATGCTCTGACGACACCTTTAGCTTCCATACCAGCTCCCTGACTCTGCAACTCTTGATCTAATCTAACTGGCCTCTGCATGATCAAGGACTGGTTATGTATCAAATATCTGACCCACACATCCACAATTTTTAAATGTTTTCTGAGTTCTACAAAACACTGTTTTGCACCTCTCTCTCATGCAAATTTCTAAGGACCTCAGGTGGAGTCATACTGCAAAGACTTTCAACAAAGATTCTTTTCACTCATCTGGCCTTCCAGGGGCCCTACTATCCACAGTTCAAACATCTTGAGATAGCCCATTTAGGGGCTGAAATGTACCATTTAGATTCAAAAGAGCAAACTCAAGGTGACATAATTTTTTTCATTCAATCCCAATTGGGATGGATACACACCTGTGGGCTTAACACATGCTCCTTGGATTCCTTATGTACACAAACAACTTTCCCAAACCACCAAACATTGAATGGTTTGGTAGGAGAATAAAAACTGAAATGATTGCACATGGCAGGAAGTAGAAAATACTCTGCAGTTGATTTTCCAGGGCATTTGTCCTCATTAGTTCAGTGCAGCGCAAGGAGTCATCTCTGGAAATGCCCGGGGAGTGTGGGCCCAAGTACTGGGATGTGCATATTTTGAGTTGCACTTGAGCTACATCTGTTCATGAGCTTCCTGGTCCCACTGCCATGGCCCCAGTTTAAAGATACATCCCACATTTTTATTACTTCTCTAGACCCCTCCCTAACTTGTCACCCCACTTCCAGTCTCTCTGTTCGGTGACCCCTTCTGCAGTGTTCACCATGAGTCTTATTGGTCTGCCATTTTTATCATCTCCTGGGCGCCAGCCCTATTCCAGGGACTAGGCATACAGCTGTGAAAAACACTGACCAGCTGTGAAAAACACTGAGATAGAAAGAATCTCACTAAAGAATTTAGGGAAGTGAAACAACATTAAACAAGCAAACAATAAATAAGAAGGACCATTTAAACAATCGTAACTGCCCAGAAGAAAAGAACCATGGTAATGGCTGCCTGCTGGCTACCCTAGCTAAAGCCACATGGTGACAATCAGGGCGTGAAAGAGCAGAGAAATGGAGGGCCTTGTGAGCCACGAGGAGGAGTTGGGCTTTTATAATGTAAGTTTTATTACACTTGCATTGGGAAGACTTTGAGAATGACAATAAAAGATGATCTGATTTGTGCTTTGAAAAGGTAACTCAGGCTGTTGTATGGAGAAAGGCTGGAAAAATCACAAGAGCAGGAGCTGGGAGTCAGGAAGGAGGCTGTCCAGGTCATCCAGGAAGGAGCAGTTGTGGCAAACTTTCTCTGTAAAAGGCCTTACAGTAAATGTTTCCAGGTTTGCAGGCCCTACGGTCTGTGCTGCAATGACTCCAGCCACCGCTGTAGCACAGAAGTAGCCACACACAACATGTAAATGAACATGACTGCATTCCAATAATACTTTATTTATGGACACAGACATTTGAATTTCATAAAATGTTATGTGTCCCAAAATATCATTCTTCTTTGGATTTTTTTTTTCAAACCACTTAAAAAATGTTAAAACTATTCTTAGCCTGCAAGACCACACAAAAACAGGTGGAGAGCTGGGCTTGGTGCACGGGCTGCAAAGTACCAAGCCCTGGGTTAGCCTACAGCTGTGGCCATGGAGGTGAGGAGATCGGGATGGGTTTGGAGTTTATGGGGAGGCAGAGCTCACAGCACATAGGACTGCGTGTGCATGACAAGTGAGGAAAAAAAAGAAGGAAGGAAGCCTGCCCGCTGGATTTTGATCTGACCCACTGACAGACCAGCCTGCCATGGTGCTGGGGCCATGTGACCCTGCTGCCCTGGCTCACCCCCTTCAGTGGCTCCTCACTATGCAAAAGACCTAGCCACCTGGCACTGTGCTTCAAAACCTCACGACCTGGCACGACCAGCTTCTTCAACCTTGCCCCTGACTGTTGCCCTTCACACACCTTACCTTCCAAGAAAGACTGTTTTCCAGTCTGCAAGCTCTTGTTCACAGACCCAAAATGTGCTTCCTCTATGTCTAAATGCCCACTATCGTGCACAGGCCACACCAAATGCCAGCTGTTCCCCAGAGGCTCTTCTGGCTCTCCCAGCAGAGAAGAGCGGAGCCGCTGCCCCTCTGTTTCTATCTCCCGCAATGCACTGCTCAGCCCCTATTTGTATTTTAGGTGCTAGTATTCATTCACATGTTAGGACTCTGGCTAAAGTATAAGCTCGTAGTGGACTCCCCTGATATTGTTCATATTTTTATATCCTCCCTCTGCAGTCCCAGAACCTACCAGATCCCTTAAATTTGGTGGGTACCAACATTTATATTAAAATATTTAAGGAGACAGATGTGAAGGTGTGGTGGACAGGAATAATTATACATGTGCCTGAATGAGAAGGATGGTTTCTGGCTCACCTAGTGATAACCTTTTAAAGGACAGTTATTTAAAATAGGAACCATGAGCAATTAAAGGGCACACAACAGAACCAAGAAGTCAGAAGCTACATTGTACCTTTATTACTTCTCTTAAACCTTTCTATTGATTCCTCCAAAACTCTTCTGAACAAAAAAATGTCTGTCGAAAGACATGAATTGAAGCAGCTCCATTGCCCCAACATATAGCATCCAAAATGCTCAGAACCGATCTAGGACACACCATCCCTGCCACTCACCGAGAGATGTTCCCGACCGGTTTTGTCAGCAACATCTGTGGCAGGGATCTCGTTACTTCTGTTGGTGGTGTCTCCGATGTCATTCGCTGCAGTCCCATAATCTTAAATTGAAGAAATGGGAAAGAGAAGGAGACGTGAAGTTGTCATTAGGTTGCCAACAAACACAAGGCCACAGTACCACCCAGAGCAATGGAGAAAGATGAATCGCAAAGGCTCCAAACCACCGACAGCCCAGCTGGGATGGAACATGATCCAACTATTGGGTCAAATCTGCTGTGGTGTGGAGATTGCATGATGCCAGAAAGTTATGCAACCCAGGTCTTTACATCACTGTTTGTTGGTCAAATTCCAAACCAGGTTTAGGGGCTTTCTTTGTGTATCAACAAAAACCCATTGTTGATGAAGTATCCAATATAAGTATGAGAGGGGACCCACCATCTAAGAGTCAAAGATTTCCAGAGTTGGAAGGGTTTTTAGAAATGGAGTCGAACCACCGGTTTTACAGCTAAAGAAAGCCAGATGAAGAAGATTTAGTAACTAGTCTAAGGTCACCTGGCAAAGAGGTGGCAGAGCCTGAGCATAAGCCAGCCTTGAAATAAGCAACACTAGTTCCAGGGCAGATGCATCTTATTTGGGTTAAGAGGAATATGGAATCAGCATTGATATGGAACTTGAGCCCACATGTGAACTTTTTTAAAGACGTCTGAATCACCAGTTTTTCAGTTTCAGACTTAATAGATAGGGAACTGCTCCAACAGGTATCAGAGGGTGTAAAGATAAAAAATCTTGGGTGCCTGATAATATGGTCAAGCTGCTGGTTTAACCAGCCCTAAAACATGCCCTACCTTTGAGGTTCCTGTCTGTGGGCCAAACTTCCTCATTATCCGAGAAACCTAATTCTGAATTGGGTTTACTGTCATAGCTAGAAATGGATACACCTCCCTTTTTCTTGGTAGTCATGGCTTTTAAACAGGTAATTAGTTCCCAATTATGGAACAAAATGTCTGTTACAGCAGAATGGATTTACTACTTCCAAGAACAGAGCATGAGAGAGAAAATGCTATTTACAGGCACTGTAAATATCAAGGGAAAATGGCCATCAATATTGAATGATTTTTGAAATATTATTTTGGCCTATGTCATGCTTGAAGTGTATATTTAACTGAGCATAAAGATCTTCTTCTAGTTGATTTATTCCATTTTAGACAGACATTTTGAAAAAAATACAAAACAAAGACAACATGATAGCTACCTTCATAAATTACATCAGGATAATTTGGGTTTGCACCTAAAAAGCAAAAAAGCAAAAGATTTGTAAGTATGCATTCAAAGTTTAAAAATTACTTCCACCCAATAAATGAACTAAATAAATATTGAAAGTTTTTTTTGGTATCATTAATATACAATTACATGAGTAACATTGTGGTTACTAGATTCCCCGCATTACCAAGTCCATACCACAAATACTGAAAGTTTTATAATTGAATAGATTGTTTATAGGACAGATAAATAAAACCTGGAATTCTCATTTTGCTTCATGTTAACTCTGTTCCCTCCCCAGTCCCATGACCTTTACCCTTCCAAAAGAATAAAGAGAAATTATAATTTACATTAGCTGGAAAAACTTAAGCAATCAGTGAGTTATAACCAGTTCTTTTCTTTTGTTTTCTTTTATCTTTTATCTTTTTCTTTCTCTTTACTATGTGCATTAGACTTGTCCATTTTAATTGCAATCTCAGTAATTTTTTCCAGAGACTGAACATTTCTGTGCCATTTTTGCTATTCTCTTATGGTTTGGGTATTGCTTTCAAACTATGTTTTATCAGGTCCATCTGCATTGATGAACACATTATTAGGTAGCCTGTATAATGATATCTAAAGCACAGTGTCATTCTCTACTTGGTCTTTGGGGGCCGGGAGGTAGGGGACAAAGTCGAATTAACCTTTTTTTTGCCCTAATATAACACAGAAAACTAAATGTACTTTTTTTATTGAAATTATTTATGTATAAGAGATAAATAAATGTTATGTCAGAAGACATGCAAAAATATACACACTTATTTTTTGGATGCTTCTTTAGTCATCAAGATGATCAGAATATTATATTTTTAAATATTTCCATGAGAATCTGCAAAAACATTTTCAATTTTTAATTTTTTTTTTTAAATCATCACCAGCAAGAGCTGGTGACAAAAACATTTGTTAGTAGAGTCATAGGTACTGGGAAGTGACTGGTAGTTCCATGGGGGAGGGGGTTAGGGCAAGTGGGTGAAATGGGTGAAGGGAATAAAGATGCACAAAGTCTCAATCATATAAGTTAGTCATGGGGATGAAAGCACAGCATAGAGAAGATGGTCAATGGTTTTGTAGCATCTTTCTATGTTGACAGATACAACTACACTAGTTGGGGTGAGGACTTAACGCATGTAGTTGTTGAATCACTATGTTCTATACTTGAAACCAATATAATATTTGATATCAACTACACTTTAATAAAAAAAAATTTTAATAAATAAAAATAAAATGCAAATCACCCATCAGTAGATGAATGGGGGAAAAATTTTGCTACTTATTCTCCATTCAGAACTAACTGGGTATTTATATTAAAGCCTATTTGAAAATAAAATTAAATTTTGATATAACATTTAAGTGACCACAAAACGAATTTCCAAAGCTACTTCCTATGTTTTCAGTCTTCACCTACCATGTGAAAAAATAAAACTTACAAACCATAAGGCTTATTCAATTCCAATTTTACTTCTGAAATATTATAGAAAAATATCATTTAAAATAAAGGAAAACATGAGCCAATTTACTGTTCATGGTTTCCCCAGTGAATAATCAAGGTTAATCTAAATGAAAAATGAAATAAAAGTAGTTCTTTTAATAATAATAGTAATAATATATAAAAATTATCTAAATAGTAAATAATTAGTAGATATAAAATAAATTAAAAATAATAAAATATTTAATAACAGTAATAATAAAAGTCCCAGTGTTCAAATTAGAATTTGAATACCATTCAACTAGAAGAATATCTATTTCAGCAGGGGACAAATTAAGTAAATAGTTGTACGCTTTTATTCAGGGAGACTGTATGCTGCTGTGCAGGGCCCTGATTCCTACAACTCTTGGGGGTGCCATTCAAACTTTAGTCTGTGTGAAAGGTACCACCTGAAGTTGTGCAGTGCACAACGTGGGCAGCCACATATGATGACCCTGCAGCAATTCAAACAAAGTCATCAAATCCAGTAAATTTCAATTGTCTTTTGAGTTGTATTATTCCAAACACCATTTTAAAGTGGTTTCAAGTTACAATATGTCAATATGCGTTGTGAGAATTTGTAGTAGATGTGACATTCCTGAGAAGGGCCTTGAAGGTTCCCCTGCAGTTTAAGGAGTAATTCAGTGAGTAAAGCATCAGGAAACCCCACTGGCAGCCCCAGTGATGTCATCTATAGGTCACCCACCCATCACAGAAGTCCCTTTCCTTTGCAAAGTCCCCTCCCTATGAGTACTTTCTACTCCTGCTGAAGGAAAGGCCCATACCCAAAGTGAGCAAGTCATTCTTGGAACTGCTTGGTAATCCATTACTTAGAAAACTCCACCCTGGTCCCCTTCTCACTGTGCCCTCAACATAGTTTGAATCTGCAAGGGTAGCTGCCCACCAGAGTCCATTCTTCTCTCCTAGACCTCACTTTGGGTGCCCAGGACCCAGAATTCCCCTCCCAAAGGCCCCAAACACACTTCCTAGGACTGACCAGCCTTTCCTGTCAGCTGACAGGTGGCTCCACCACCAGTATGGGCACCCTCTGACCCAAGACCCAAGGGAGGCATGAGGACTGAATGAGGACAGGTGGGCTGTGGTGCCCACAAGCACAACCATTACCTCTCATATACCGTTCACTATATAGTCAGAGGCACAAGGGCAGGGGACATGGCTGGGGACCAGCTCTACCAAAACCTCTATGTTCCCACATGGAATCCAAGAATCTGACAATTCAATCCTCAAATCCAGCTTTCTAAGTCATTAAAAACATATGATCCTACCACCAAGGTAGAAGGACAGAACCTATTTTAAAGAATTTAATGAGTTTAACAATTCATAGTATAACATCCAAGTATAACTTGTTTTGTACTTTTTTAAGAATTTGTATATAAGTCTGTTAGACCTTCATTTGTACTAGGTTCGCCAATCATCCCAGATTGCCTGAGACAAGGAGAATTCCTGAGACATTGGGCTTTAAGTTTCAAAACTTGCATAGTCCCAGGCAAATCCTTGCAGTTTATCCACGAATGAAGGCTTTCTCTAGATGCAGGATTTTTGGTGCTAAAACTGAGACCGGTTGGTCACGCTGATTTATTCTCATGCCCTCAGGAACCCCAGACAGTCACCACCTGCTTTTACACATGCAATTCCGTAAGAAAGTAGAAAGACTGAGGAACCACAGCCAGGTTTATCTAAACCACACATTGAAAGGGCTTTGGTGAATCTGACTGACAGGCAGGCATTAGTCTCATCACAGGAAGCAAGCACCCAAACACATGACTCACACAAAGCCCCAAGAAGATCCAAAACATCAAATCAGTTCAATATGGCAAATGTCAGGCATACAAAAATGGGATTTAGGCTGTGAATAAAAGTAAATAGGTTAGCCCAGAAACAGATCCTTTTCCAGATTTATGATTCACATCAGTGCATGCCGTCCCTACCACATTCACCAGCAAAGCCATTAGGTCACATCTAAACTTTCTGTAAAGCACTATATTTTCCTAACTTCATTTTCCCAACATGTGAGAAGTTGTCATTTTACGTTTGTTGTCAGGAGTAGCCAGATGTAGTGCAAGATCAGGAAACTCACAGAAAGACAATGTGGGTGGAACAATAATGGTTTCCTCTTCCTCCCTATCATACTGTACTATGTCTGATGAGGGCCTACTGGCCAAAAAAAAGAAATGCCTCTTCAGGTACAAAGGTTTAGGAAGCCTGGCAAGTGGCAGGATGCACAGACCGCTAGAGTTTCTGAACAATAAGGATCACATTACCCCAGCTGACCCCAGCTCATCAACCACACTATTTTGCTTCTAGCAACTTCTCAGTCAAGTTAACCTCCCATGCTGTTTACCCTCCAATAGGGAAGTAATTATTAACCTCATTTTAAATGCAGACAGAGAAAAATCACCACTTCCATTTTAGACTCCTGACAATGGTCAAATTTTGAAAATATCCTGCAATTTTTAAGTTTAATTTTCAACTGGTTCTTTTTATTTAGCTTAAATATGTTTATTATATATCACTATATGCTAAAGGTAGAAACACCTGTTGGAGATACTCAGGCCTAGAAGGTGATAAGGAAAGACAAAGACTGGCCATGTGGGAGAAAAGCCAGCACAAGGGAATGAATGACTGGTAAAAGAGTGGCATCTGACTAAAGTAATGCACTTCTAGCTGGGAACAGAGAATGGCTGTGCTTCCTTGAATATTTTCTTAGGAGCTCATCAAGAAAGAAATCTCAGATTTAGGCAGCAGAAGGTGGTATCAGGCCCTAATGCTTCATGTTAGACATCTTTAGAATAAAATGTGGGCATCTCCTGAATAAAATATGGGAATCTCTGGAACACAATGCAGGTATCTCTGGACTAAAGTGTGGGCATTCAGGAAGGAACTCCATTACCCCCACTGGCATTCCAGACAAGCAGTGGGCCACTTTCTACCTGCTCAGCTCACTCAAGTGCAGAAGCTGCGACTCCTTCCCAACCAAGAGAAGGTGAAGACCAAGCACACACTTCTGCTTGTTTGATGTTCAAATTCTATCTTCCGGAGAGATGTTGAATGTCTCCAGGCACTACACTCACCTGTCCTTTGTTCTCGACCTAATTCCTGTTGTCAGGAGTTAGGGGGCCAGGACTCACAGGTTCAGAGCATAGCACCTGACACACTCCCGTGACAAGAACAGCAGAGACCCCGTTATGGCCACACCTGCTCCCCAACAAAGCTCCATATTACATGTGATGTCTGCACCTCCAAGAGATGGACCCTCTTAGGGCATTAGGCTTCTAAGCATGGATGATACAATCACTTTTTTCCTGCAACAATATCAAATTAACATACTTGACCGTCCCCTTAATTCTATACTAAATGACTTAAAGTGGAGGCCTCTCTTCTTCCATCTTCCAATCTCAGCTGTAGCTCATATGCACATCTTGTGACTTTATGTAAATATCCATAGCTTTTTCACTGTAAGACTCTACAGTGAGAGGAAAAACACATTTGTAGGATTAAACAAA